AGCCCCTCTTTCTCCCTCTGTCTGAAACCAGAGCCCAGTCTGCTCTGAATGGTTAGCTGTCCGGCTCTGTTGTGATTGATCAACCACTTAGAGATGTCCCGCCCCTTAGCCTATCATGTACAATGTGCATGTACAATGTGTCGGAGCGCTATCCAATAGAAGCGGGAGTGTTACGTAGTGATGTCATTATGTCACGGAAGTAAACAAAGGAGTCAAATGGGGGACTTTGGGATTTTAGACATGCACAAAACCCTATATAACACAAAGAGAAAACCCCAAAAGCACAATATGGTGCTTTTTTTTTAAACCACTCATGAACAAAGACAATTCATTAAACATGTGCTTTTTTGTGAGAGGCGTGTTGTGCAGTGGGTTTTGCTTTGGTGTTCGGATTAGGGGAGCACAGGTTCAAACCCCACTGCAGTCAGCATGTCGTTGTGTCCCTGGGCAAGACACTTCACCCCAAATTTCTCCTGTGGGGATTGCCCACAGTATTGAGTATGGAAGTTGCTTTGGATAAAAGCGTCTAACAAGTGACATGTAATGTGATGTAATGTGCTGCCCTGAGCAGTTTACATACAATGAAGGAATGGAGCAGGGAGAAGAAATTATTTATTTACCTGCCACTTACTCTATAATAGATGGTCTGTCAATCACAGTTGCTTAGCAACTAGTACTTACAGTTACATGAAAACAAACACAATCAAAAGTCAAACACAATTATTCACCAGCAGAGACACAGATTACCTGGCATCGTCATACTGTCGTATTTGTTTTTTATAAAAGTAAATGTGAACCAGTATTAACTAAAGTTCTATCTTATCTTATCTTAAAAGTACTCATCATGCATCAATATAGTAGTGGAGTAAAACCAGAAAGTATTAAAAAAATGAATATACTTGAGTAAAGAAGAAAAGTAGTACTTGGCTAAAGTTAGTTATTTTCAGATATATGTAAACTTTTACTATTTACTAGTGTTATATGGCTGCTCATTTATACCTTTGTATATGGTCCTCTTTAATCTTTTCATATACCTTGAATGTGTACTTATTTGTATCTTATTAATGTTTTAAATTAAACACTGTTTTATTTTCTATTTATCTGTACTGCCCCCTTTGCTGTAACAATGTAGATGTCCCCTCTGTGGGACCAATAAACCATTTCTGATTCTAAATTCTCACACTTCCCCCAGCACTCGTGGGACTTTATTTGCTGACATCCCTCTGCCCCTAACGTTTCCCGTGTTATATGTCATGTTTGTGATTTGTCGGGCCACAGCTTGAGGTCTGGCACGCTGGCCTGAGAGAGATAGTGGGTCAGGGCAGCGAGTCCCTGAGCCTCCGAGCTGTCAGAGCATCTAAAGCAGCTGACTGCTCACAGGGGCTTTGCAGGAGCCCGTGCTCCACTTTGTCAGAGTGGGGCTTAGTGGAGCCAGACAGCCCCAGGTGAGACGCAGTCTTTATACCGACAGCCCGGCTCTCTAACACAAACAGAAAGAGCAGTGTTTGCTCGCCACACTGCTCTCACTCACTGTGGAGTTTTTGTTGGAAGTGTCACTGAGGGTTTCTGACAATCCTCAAAAACAGTATCACGGTAAAATATGTTCATTTTGTTGTAGCCCCCCTTGCCAGCGATTCTCTCTGACCATTCAGCAGTCGAGAGTGTTTACGTCACTAGTTTAGCATATTCAGCCCGGTTGTTGGCCCGGTAAGAACCTCGATTTTGGAGGGCCAGAAGAAAAGATGAAAAAGTAGCCCTGAGCCGGAACTACCCCTGGTGGAAAAGCAAAAAAAAGCCTGGTTTGGCCCGTCCCGCTTCAACCGTGCTACGTGCTGCAGTGGAAAAGCGCCATTAAATAACCAAACTGTAAAAACACTCTGCATTGAAAATGGTACTTAAGTCAAAGTTAATAAGTATAATAATAAATTGTGGCTTAATCGTAGAAGTACCCAATGCAGAAAAAGCTACAAAAAAAACCAAAAAATGTTTTGTTAATTATTCAAAAAATAAATAGAGAAAAAAATAAAGATATTATAGATTCCATTAATTATTTCACAATTGGCAAAATTAATTGACTTAGCTGTTTTTGTAAAAAGTGTTGACTTATTTAATTAAATGTCATCTTCATTTAAACTATAAACAAGAAATGTAAAAAAAATGTAATAAAGTAAAAAGTACATTATTTGTACTGGTATTGAAGTATGAAGTCCCACTAAAATAAATACTTGAAAACAAGTAATTCATTGTCGTACTTGAGCACAAGTATGAGTATTTGATTACATTCCCCCAGTGGAAACAGAGAGCCGCTAACATACAGTAGGAAGATAACCCTGACAGAATGAGATGCTTGCCTGAGGAACTGGCTGAAGGCCTTGTAGTTGGTGATGGTTTTATAGTCTTCCTCGGTGAAGCCATACTGCACGTCTTCCAGACCCCACTCTTCCATCAGCTGGCTGGAGGATTTGGGTTCCTGAGGAGATAAAGATGAGACTTAGATAATGCTTGATGAAGGCCACTCTAACCCCTTTCAGGAAAGGTCACCCTTTATAGATTGTTGCAATGAATTTGGAAATGAAGTTCCCATTGGATTGTCGGACTGTAATTATACTTATAATGTAAGGAGACACTATACTTTTAAAGCCCCCCCTCCAGTAAAAAACATGAGAACGTTTCTTTAAACCCAACCTTTTGGTATGGGTTTCCTCTCTGTTTTGCCTTCACCCTACCACACACATGTTCATCATTTCAACCACCACTGACCTGGAGGTAGCAGATTTATTGAATATGTTGCTTTTGTCTTAGTTTCAAATAAAACATGGTTTAAATCTTATGTGGTCTCCTTTTTGGTTTAGATCCCTGAACCGTGGCTGTGACAATATTTCTCCTGATGTGGAAACTTAAAGTTTCCAGTGCACATTCACTAAGAGTGGATTTTAAAGTTCACCTATCATGCAATTCTTAGGCAATAGCATAGGTCTCAGATATGTAAAAATTAATAAAAAACATGTCTATGAAGTGTTTTGCTCAAAATACCAAACAGAGATCACCCATTCCAGCCATAGGCCCTCATATCCCTCGATTTCACTTCCTGTGGCGGGCAGTTGCTGATTCAGGATATTTTTTGTAAAGGGGGGCGGAGCTTATGCCTGCTCATGCGGGACCCGGCAGATACTGTCTAAAATAAATGCTGCGGTGATGAAACGCCAAAACCACATCCAGCAGATTCACTTTTAACACATATAATTGGAATTTTGATATATTCTGGATTGTTTAGTAAGGGAGAAAATTAAAAAGTGTTTTTATCATATCAGACAGAAACTATAATGTTAGGCACAGTATCTATTACTCTTAAGTTGTAAATTCTGCAATGAATGGTACTTAATTTTGTGAAAATACAACGAAAGGAAATATATAAAAGTTATATTTACTGATTGTATATGTTTATATATTGATATCACTTTTAATGGTCGATAAAAGTTAGAAATCTTGCATACCATACTAAGTAATACTAGTAATGTTTCATTACTTTCCCAGCAATTTACCTTTACCCCTTTAATTGAAACTATATTAATTTTTTTTTAAAATACAATTGCCTGTGACCCTATCAACTATGCTACTGAATGACATTTCTTTTGAACCCTTGAGATTCTTAAATGTCCAAAACGCATATTGTTCTTGCTAGTCTTACAGCTGCTAAGAAAATGGTTGTGCTGGAGCCTACACACGATTTGTCCGTTAAGCAATGGGTTTGAACTGTTCTTGATGTAGTCCATATGGAACTGTCAGCAGCCCGTATCAATGGGGCGAAAGAGGATAATGTGAGTGTGTTGTTGCAGTGGCTGCGGCATTGAAAAGTAGGCTGTGGTTCTTTTTCATATCCTTATTTTTGCGTGTTTGATTGTAATTTGATGACACTCGTTGCCTATTGGCGCTTGATCAAGCCCACAGTGCTCCTGGGGCGGGTGTTTTTATCTTTTTTTAATTTTGTCTTATAATTTTTTTGTTTATTTGTAAGGGAACTGAATGTATGTTCTTTCACATTGTATGTATGTGTTTTTTGCCAAGTTGTTCTGTTTTTCTGCCTTAAATAATAAACAAATTTGATCACAAAAAATACAGAATCCAGTAGAAAATAAGGTGTGATCTGTTGCTGCCTGGTGGACCTAGACTGAGACTCACTTTCATGTTCCCATCATCATCGTCATCGTCCTCATCTTCCTCATCCCTCTTCTTCTTCCTGGGCTTCTTCTCTTTCTTCTCCTTGGGCTTCTTCTTCTTCTTCTTGGTCGGCCCGTACGCGCTGCTCTCGCTCTCAGAGCCGATTTCTGGACGTTCCCGCTCCTCCTCCACCTCCGAGGTCTCCTCCAGGTCGCTGTCCACTCTGGGCTGGATCCCACCCTGAGGCATTGACATGAACACATTCAAAATATTTTAAACACATGCACAATATTAGCTGGTTGGTCGATAGCAGGACATGAGCAGCTATGGTAGTTCCAAATGTCATCCTTTGTTTTGTCTTCCTGTCAACGTGCAATTGTTGTTGACCCCGTCTTGTTTGTTTTTAAAGCATAAGTCATCGTGTTACATTTTTTAAGCAGCTTCATTATAGCCTAATAATACACTTCTTTTTGGAATTTAAAGTTAACATTTCAGCCAGAAATTCAGTAAAAATGTACCTGGGACGACCAGAGATGCTAAGATCTGAAAATAATAACCCTTGAATTCAATGTAAGTACTGATTTGTTATATGAAATAAAAGGACCCCTTTTTTCCCAAAACATTTGGATTCGGGTTCAATTTGAAGGATTTCTCTGATCTTCCAGCAGATAAAGATGTTTGTGACTTGCATCGTTAAAAAACTATATTAGTGCTGTATGACATTTCACCCAAGCCATCTTAACACTTCTTTGAAATATTCCAAAAGCTCCTGCCAAACAGCTATTTTTATAAAAGTAAACAGTTAGAATCTGACTTTGAATCTTGCTCTAGCTCTCTAGCTCAAGATGTGACTGTGACTGACTGAATTCAGCATCAAAGCCAGATTCCTGGGTCTAAACTGAATTTAATCTCTGTACTTAATGATAGATACCTCCATCTCTAAGTATCATCTGATGGAATTATACAATTTAGCGAATAAAAACTGGATAATTAAAATATGAAATTCGAACAAGCATGGCGTTATTTTTGCCAGAGTTAGGGATTACAGCTCTCACAGAGGCCGCCCACGCTAAAAACATGTCAGAATACTGTAAAGCATTTTGGATAAAAGCTTCTCCTTGATGGCATTTGCATAAATTAAACTTCTTCCAAAGTGCCACTGCTCCACAAATATTATAATTCTCCCTGCCTGTGATGAAATGTATAAATTATTACATTACAAGTCAACATTTGGCTGTGAGTTGCCGAGAAGCACGTTCACCTTTCACACACGATTGAACCACAAAGTAAGCCAGCACACAGAACACCTCCGGTACTGCAGCCAATCAGTGCTCAGAACTGATCCTGTATTCCTGCCTCTATAATATGAGACATCTGCAAGGCTATATGGATTTAACAGTTAACAGGTGTTGTTTGTGTGATTAGGAGTGTTGCATATGAGCAAATTCGCTAGTGCCTGTTCATGAGTGAGTAAGAAGGAAAGGGAGAGAACAAGATCTGGGGTGCCCCTCAGTATGTGATGGTTTTTGCATGTAGTATATACACTTCAGAATGTCCATTCTTGTTTCTTGCTCACTGCAGGTGGGACCCAGGTACCCCTTAACTAAAACACTCCTGGATTGCAAACCTGGCAACAAAATGGTGGGACAAGCTCCATGTACATGCCATGTAATAAGAAATGACAGTTTCCCATGCACCTTGGCAATTGAAAAAATATATATGTACTTATAGGCTTAGCTTATTTTAAGCTAATGCATTAGCACTTAAAGGGTCCCTATTATGCTTTTTGGGGTTTTCTATTTCTTGTAGTGTGGTATGTACAATCCCCCCCTGCCTGAAACGCAGGATTTATTGGATTCCTTTGTTTTAATCCCAACATCATTATGTATAACTTGCGCTTCTATTGGCTAGTGCTCCAACATAAATGTGAAAGGCTAAGGGGCGGGACATCTCTAAGCGATTGACCAATCAGAGCAAACTGGGCTGTGGTTTCCGACAGAGGGTGAAAAGAGGTGTTGCGACAGGGAATGAAACATGTAACACAAAGTACAAACGTGAAACCTGAAAAGGAGCTTAATAGGGCCCCTTTAAAATGCTGTGGCATATTTGAAGTGAATGTACCGGCATGTTTTTTCCTGTTCTAAGTTTGTATCTTCAGGATTTATTTATTGTACGTCGCTTCAGCTAAAAAGCATCAGCTTATTGAAATGTGATGAAATTATATAAAGACAACATTTTGTGAAAGGTTAATGTGTTTGAATGCATATGTGTCAGTCATTTGTGCTTCTTTTTCTCTCTAGTAGAGGCGTGTTGTGTGCACGTTACAGAGTGAATTAGTGCACAGCGCGGAGTGCTCTGCTCGCTGCCTGTTGCTCAGCGGGCCTGTGTGGATTCATGGAGAGACTCACAGGCGTTTGGCTCTGTAGCGCAGTGGAAAGGTTCACGTTGCTGCAGCGCCCGCCAGCCCTACCAGCAGCCTAGCTGTGTTGCCATGGCGACCATATTTGAGCAGTGTCTGGCTCTCACTCTCTCTCTCCTCTTAGTTTTCTCTCATAGCTCACCCCCATGCACACGTTTCTCTTCTCTCACTCTTTTCCCCTCTCTCACTCTCTCTTTCAATAAGGCTACACACACACACACACACACACACACACACACACACACACACACACACACACACACACACACACACACACACACACACACACACACACACACACACACACACACATATACCCACACTCTATCACAGTGGCAGCCAATGGAACGGCGCCATCCAATCAGACACGTTTGCATAACGAGCTTGTTATGCAGAGGCCTGTGGTTGCAGAGCTGGTGCTCCAGCACCCGTCTAGACAAATCTCATTTATGCATAAGAAGAAGGAGAGAGAGGGGGGGGGAGAGAGAGAAAGAGAGAGAGAGTACAGTTTGAAGATAGTATGGAGGGGGGTGGGAGTGGGGGTGGAAATGGAGGAGGGAAAGGCTAAGAAGCAGAACCGCTGTTGAAAACAACTGCAAAGACAAAGTGGAAGTGTGCAACAACCTGGCAGAGTTCAGTGTTACACACACATCAGAGGACAGAGGAGGACACTGGCAGCAACAAAGAGGGTGTCTCTACTTGGAGAGGGCAGAAAATCTGATAAGTGCTGATAGCATAATCAAATTAGATGCTTCCCCGTAATGGCTCCGCCTTAGGGGGGATCGCAGAGGGTATGCGAACAGAAAATGAGTAAGAAAAAGAGGATATTCAATAAAGATCTAGTTCAACAGGAAAAATCCTGCTGTGAAAACACTTCCAAAACAATAGCCTCTTCTCTTTTGCAGGAATCAGCAACAGCCCGCTGTTGACTCACAATCCTTGAGAAGATACTGAGCTTATAAAAACAAGACAGCGGCCCATCTTAAAACTAAGTGTATTTCAGCAAAATATGAAAGTGGCTCCCTCATAGACGCTTTATTGTGGCCTCTTCTTTTTCCAATTAACTGCCCTCTATAAACTCCTTTGAATTTCTAGTAGTTGTTTTGTTGAAATGGAAACAGAACATCCTTTCATTTCCACAATGTGGCTGTGTTTCCCTGCAGATGAGAGTCTTTCTCCAGCAGCTCTGACCGGAGACTGGGATGTTCCACTGACAGTCTCTGACCCCAATTGACTTCTGGCCCCTGTCTGACCTTTGGGGAATGATTGGAAGTGAATTACAGCAGCAGCAGCGGCTCCTCAGTGGGAGAGTGAAGGAGAAATAAAAGGGAGAAAAAGCAAGAAAGAAAAACACCCCCTTCATCTTCACCTCCTTCCTACCTTTCTACCTTCACCCCCATTATCATCTTGCTCCATTAGCCCTCCTCCTCTTCTTCTTCTTCTGTCTTATTGTTTACAGTCACAGGCCATTAAAATCAACTTATGTTACACACATTACACTTTAAAGAGGCCCTTTTATGCGTGTTGGGGTTGTCCCTTCCTCTTAGACTGCTATATAGGTTTGTGTGCATGTAAATGGTCATCAAAGGCTAAAATCCCCATATTGAAGAGTTTCACTCCCACACACCTGCCAGAAAAACCTCCATTTAAGTATTTTGTTTACCTATGTGACATAATGACATCACCATGAAAAACCTTCGGTTCTATATTAGTCTGGTTTCAGACAGAGGGTGAAAAGATGTGCTACAGCAGGGGCAGTATGAGGAAAAATAAAGACCTTTTTGAACATTAAAGCATGGAAACGTGTCACAGTAGAGACACAACATACAAATACGAACCTGAAAATGAGCATAATAGGGCCCCTTTAATTAAGATCTCTCAACAATATTAAAAGAAAGAAATAACAAAGGAAGGATTTGCAGTTTGCTGTGACCCAAAGGCAACCGCATCACGATCAAGGCAAAGTAAGGTGATGCATGTGAGAGGTGAGAGGAGAGGGAAGAAAGAGGAGAATACAGGGCAGAGCCTGTGTGTGAGAGAGAGGGAGGAGACTGTCAGAGGGAGTCCCCCCCTCATTAGCTCAGTGAGACCCGGAGCTCAGTGTTTACCACAGGCAGCCAGGGGGCCGGGTGGCAGGCTGGCCGGCCAAGCTCCTCGCAGCACTGCCGGCCCCTCCAGCCAGCAGAGGGGAACATCCTGGCTGTGTAACTGACACTGTTACAGCCATCGTCAACACGCGCGGAAAATGCTCTGGGAATACAGGGAATTCCTGTAACCACTGAGGAAAAATCTTATGGCATCTGGGTTTTGCTAAAGTGCCAGGAAAGCCTAAGGTATCATGACACTTTTCAGGCAAGGTCGAGGCTGACTTCATGAGATGTTGCCTTTGTTTGTCACAGTACCCTTGATGTTATGGTAACAGTGGAGCATTTAAACATGTGTAATTAAAAAAGCGTTAACAATGACATACCCAGCTGCAGTTCTCCATTAGCTCATTGTCTAGGTTTTCAGAAACTCTTCAAATCCTGTGACATAATTAGGGATTAGTTATCTCGACAAGATGTATTGTGACAAAGTCAGTCTTGCCCTGGGGTTAGGGCTTAAGTTAGGGTTGTGAGTTGTAAACTATGGGTTTAAGTTATGAGTCGTGAAGATGGTTGGGGTAGTCTGATGTGTTAAAGCAAGCAAAAACACAAATCAAGAGGAAATAGAGTTAAACACAATACTATTGTCACATAATATGGTGTAGCACCAGCCTACAATCTCTGCTGTCATTGACCTCATTTCCAGCTGAAGCTAGTAAGAAAACTAGTATCAAAGTATCATACAGTATTTGAACTGTATGTTACTTTCCCAATACCAAAGGCTGCAGAGACAAAGTACGCAGCTGCTGGTGACCATGTCGGAGAATTGAGCAGCATTCAGACCAGATGTTTCCCACAGCGGAAATCTCAAGTTGAACTAGAAGACAGTGTAGACAGGGCCAATATAAATATGAAAGCATTACCACACACAAGCTCAACTCAATCAATTAGGTTTTTTTTTCACCTATAGGTAATGATAGCTAATGCTAGCTCAACGCGTTAGATTAAAAAGCTTTGTGATTAGCTTAATCTAAGTGATATAACCATAACAAATCTGGTTGAATGAAGTCACTAGTGTGAATGTTGGAAGCAGCTCAATACTCTGTGGAAATATTTGAGACTAATGTACCTCTGACCTGTTCTCCTAACATTGGAAACTAATATCTGTCACAGCTCTGACTCCCAATGCTAGCTTGGCGCAGTCGCTGTTCTTCTGAACTACAATCCCTGCCATCTACACTGACACCACAAGCACAAATCTCCACTCCAAAGTGTGCCTTGGTGCCCTAAGCTGCCACTGGCAGTGACGGCAACGCTGCTGCCAGCCTCCTCTGAGCCGGGAGACAGTTCGCATTTAGATTACAGAGGCAGCACAGCAGCCAAAACACACCTTTGATCCAATTGCAGAGACATCAAAAGAGCAGTGGTTTGGACAAATAGAGAACGCAGGGGAGCCACAAAGCCGTTGTGTCCGAGGTCAAGACTGAATGGTGTTGAGTGGGAATTACATCTTACCTCCTTTTTCCTCTTCTTTACTTTGGGCATTTTGCCCTCTTTCATCTTTTTGGGCTTCTGCTTCTTTTGTTGTTTAAGGGAGTCGCTGTCGGAGAAGAAGCTGTCGAGGGGTGTGAGGGGAACGGTGTTGCGCTCACCTTCGTCATCATCATCTGGAACCAAAACAACAAACATTTTCTGATCAGGACACAATGCAGTACATAATGTAGTAGAGACGATAAATGTGGACATTTGGCATTAGAGTATGAGAACCAAAGCATCTCCTAATGCGACAACATCTTTAGGCTAAATTGATAAATGCAGAAGATCAAAAGAAGATACAAATGAAATGATGATGATTAAATAATACAAAAAGTCAGACGGCAAATTCAAATTGCAAACATTTACTGTTTACATCATTTAAAATAAGAAGATTTGCCTCTTTCCTTCGTTTTACTTGTAAGTTATTATGCTATACTGTATATAGGAATCAATGTGAAGATATTGCATCGTGAAACGAGAAAGCACAGTGAAAAGTCAGCCAGTCTATTTTTGAAAATAAAAAGAATGAATCATTGCCAGACCAGCAGGAGCACTTGGCAAAATAAACCTCATAAACACACATCATTGAGTGTGGATCAACTTTGCCCGTCAAAGCACAAATAGATGGAGCGCCCGCCCCGCAGCTAAATGGGAACTCCCCGGAGGACCACTGAGGTATACTGAGCATATCTTCAGCTTTAACGCTTGCTGGGACTAAAGCGACCTGCTGCTGGTTGTCAGCTGTACTCTCTCAGAGCTGCTGTGTACCAACGTGCTGACTGCTGAGCGTGGAAGACTTCAGTGACGCCATAGTGGGTCACAGAGGAGTAAGCAAGGAAGAGAGACAGTCCCAAACAATACATCACTGTAAAGAGACAAGCAGAGAAATACACACGGGATGCCACTAAAGTTTGTTCTCGTAATCCGACTAACTTTCCGTCTACTTCAGTCTATCTTCCGGCGATGGTCTGTTGATTCTTCAGTAGCCTACATACATTTTTCCAGACTGAAATATCTCAACAATAACTGGATGGATGGCCATGACATTTGCAGAAACATTCACGTTCCCCAGAGGATGAACCCTTCTGGATTGAGTAATTCCTCTATCTTTCCCTGAAGCACCACCACCAGCTAGTCAAAGTGTTCTCTTATCCTGTGAAATATGTCAGATTCTACTGGATTGACTGATACAAAACATTTGTAAATGCGTCATTCCCAGATGTTTAATCCTACTTACTTTGATGTTCCCATTCTACACTCTAAAAACAAATGCCTTGGCTCAACAAAGAAAATCAACGCAACAGTTTGCATCGATGTTTATTGAGTTAAGACAACTTCTAATGAAATTGTCTTAAAGCAACAAAGTTATTTGAGTTAGGGGAGAAGGTTTTTCCTCTGCAATCAGAGGTGTTTTTAATTACCACTTACTTAATAATTGGTGGCATAAACACAAGTTTTGAAGTTGATTACTCAAAAGATTAAGTTGTTCCGACTAGTTTTACCACATAATTTAAAAGGAATTTTAAGTTGTATATACTTAGTTACCCTCATTCGGGATACAAGTTTTTAAGTTGATAACTCCAAACATTAAGTTGTTCCAACTAGATTTAACGTATGATTTAAAAGGACTTTTAAGTTTTATGTACTTAATTACCATCATTGTGAACACACATTTTTAAGTTGACAACCATTTATAAGTCAAGTTGCTCAAAATATATTGTATTCAATAGTTTTTTTTCTTAGCTTTTTAATGTTTTTGCCTTTAAAGAAAGAAATTAATTGATTGCACAACAAAAATATTAGGCAATTCACTTTTTATTTTGAACTGCAGTTGTTTATTTCAACACATGATGTTTCAATCAGGAGATCATTCATTTTGTTTGAACATTTATTGACACATGCCATATGATAAGGTGTATGAACACCTGAAATCACAGCTGACTGCAGGAGAGAGGAGAACTATTTTATAGTTTGGCTGCAGCACGTTGATTGGCTGCTGGAGAATGAGGTGAAATGTAATAGGTTAAAGAGAACGCCTGTGATGAGCTGATTATATGCAGCTGTGGAGTGAATGTATATATACCCAGTCTTCCTGAAAGAACTTGCGCTGAGCTTCATTTAAATCTTGAAAAAAAAGATAAATTACACACATTTAAATTGCCTTACAAATAATAAATAAACACATTAGCCATATTACCATGGGAAATGGGGACACAGCAAATAAATGTTGCCATCACATCGAAGTTAGAGGCCTTTGCATATTTAAAACCAGTGCCAAATATGTAAAATCTGTAAAGTTTTTGTAAAACTACAGAAACAAACTCTCAATGGCCACCAATCTGCACAGATTTTACATATTTGGCACTGGTTTTAAATATGCAAAGGCCTCTAACNCCCACCACTCCAGTGGATTATCCATTGTGGGGATATGCGGTGTCCGCTGGCAGTAATCCCGTAGCTCATCATCCGCATCACTGTTGACCCGTGTTTTCTTGCTGTTCGTTTGCCTCTGTTCAGTGCTGACGCCGGTCCGTTGCTCACTGGTGCTAGCATTACTGCTAGTGCTAGCTGTCGGCAGCGGGTGTCTCATCTTCAGATGGTTGCGCATAGCAGATGCATTTGTATTGTACTTCAGTACAGCTGTACACAACTGACACTTCACTGTGGAGTTGGTTACATCTTCGTTGAAGTACTGCCATACATAAGAATGTCGGACGTGTTTTGGAGCATTTTGCAGCACCTCGTTTACCTCAATTTTTTTCACGACTAGTCGACTAGGGCCTACAGCGCCGACTAGTGGTAAAGGTAGTCGACTAGTCGATTACTTGGTGAAACCCCTAGTGTGGACGGGCCCTGAGCGGTTTGGTCATTAGAATCTCTCAGTGCAGTAATCTTTGAACGAGAGGAGACTGCAAAATCTTAATGAAATTCATTGAATATAAATGTTTCAATGACATTTGTGTAACCGGCGACTGAGTAGAACCCAAATACATGTATTAATTATCATTATCTCTTCTTTGATATTAGTAATACACCCGCTAAATATGAGTGGTCACCGGTCACTCTGGCCGATTCTCAAATGGGGTTTTAAAAGGTTTAGGGTTTACCATAAATGAAAACTGTTGTCGGCCATTTGTCAGTCCACATGCCACGAGGTAAGAACTGAGTTGAAAATAATTTAAAAGGTATATCATCCTCAACTGCATTTTTGCTTTTACCACGAATGAAACGAAGATGGTATAACCAGATTTTCAGTTGGATTAAATTGCTTAAAATGGTCTTCCATAAATATAAGCATCTATTCTGATCAATGTTTTTTCAGTTACTTTATTTATATGAATATGGACACCACATGCATTTGGAATAGTTTCATACATGTAAACTAGTATGTTACGACTTCTGTCCAAAGAAGGCTTTTTAAAATGGAAAATAAAACTCATTCTTGCATACAAGAAATAACATTCTGAAATAATATTGAAAATGCAGTTTAGAAAAGCATTAATAGAGTAATAGTGGTTTTAACACATTTGTAGGCATTTAATCACTTGTGCGATCCAATTCATATACCACCTTACTAACGCAATATGCCAAGATGTCCTTCATTTGGTAGCACCCTGCAACAATCATTCAGTATTTTCTCGCTGTAATGGCTCAGTCCTTTGTGCAGGGGATGTATAGGTGGAAGAGGTTCAAGGTGCACTGTTATAATGAAGTAGTATGTCCTTATTGTTACACACTGTATGCAACAGTACATACTTTGTAAGGGTAGCTTCTGTTTTTAAAGAAGCCGTTTACCTTTTTTAGTTTACCCTTTGGAAATGGGATATTTAAAGTCACTTCAACAAAATCCAAAGATAATATCCGAACTTACCTTGATAATTGTGTTTTTCCATCAAAATAGTCAAGTAGAATTGATTATTTATATATTGTGGTTATATACATATATAGTCTTTTTAGATTATTTAATACACACACACACACACACACACACACACACACACACACACACACACACACACACACACACACACACACACATATGCATGAATACGGCAAGAAGACTTCCATTTCTCTTTCCGAGTTTGGAACTCCACCACCAGAGGGTGACTCTACCACTGTCTTTCTTACATGGAAAACTTGATATGGAAAACTGAGGATATTACCTCTATATCATCTGGGGCTAGAGGACAATGATAATAATAATACATTTAATTTGTAACGAAAATAGGGTTGATTTAAAGTATAGCTAAATGCACACGGTTGCAGGTGATCATTGGATATGCCAACTTTCAAAAGTTATGTTTGACCTTATTTAGTCCACCCCATTGTTTTAAGCATATTCAAAGACTGCAGACCTTCTAACTGCCTGCTGCTGGTTTAGAGTGTATAAATAATGAATTAGTTATAAATATAGAAAACTGTTTACTAATGTACAATGTCTGATGGTTTCCCCTTACCACCTCCTCCACTTGTGCAGGTACTTGAAGTATCTCACCAAGAAGTACCTGAAGAAGAACAACCTGAGGGACTGGCTGCGGGTCGTGGCCAACACCAAGGAGAGCTATGAGCTGCGCTACTTCCAGATCAACCAGGATGAGGAAGAAGAGGAGGATGAAGATTAAACTTCACGCAACTTCAAATACTTTAAATAAAGTTTCAAAAGAGACAAGACAATCTGTCTTTTTTTTATTGTTAAAGTGCTTTCATTTATTTTCTTTAGTCATTGTCACAAACGGTACAATTTGAATATGTACATACAAGAGTATTACTGTTGGCATCTTATTTAGATGCAATTAAAACAAAACTAGCTCTTTTTTGAATATATTTAAGTTTGTTTCTTCTTTGGTAGTTAAATGTTTTTTTAAACCTTATTTCTGCTTTAGTACTTTGAACGCATCTGAGCAAGCAATGCAATTTGCATTAGCCTAAAATGTAACGGTAGATCTTTGCATTATATAAATTGAGAAAATAAGGTTAATCAAAAATAATTAAGCTGGTTATAATTAATAGGCTACATTCAAACGTAATCGGGACACATTGAACCGTAATCTCTTTGCCTGCGAGACACTCAGCCCTTGATTTGTGTATTTTGATGGATTAAGTGAAGTTGAGGCTCTTGCTCTCTGTGGTGAGCTCTCTGTGGGGTATCCTGTGTTACAGCTGTGGTAACCTTGACAACAGTTAGACCACTGGCAGTCAGTGCTCCTCTCGCAGCAGGCACCCATCAGGCTGCATTTGTGTTTTTTGTGTCTGCGAAAAAGTGCAACTTTGCAGTTAGGGAGCCTGATACTGAGGGGGGTTTTATCCACATAAGGCGCTAATTGAAAGCATAAATTAGACCAAAATGTATTAACTGACATGGAAATGTTCACTTAAGACATAATGGTGTTTTTTTAACTCCCTAAAGTCCGGATTCATATGTATAGCCGGCCATGTGAGTGAATATTAAAGCAGCAGAAGTTTGTCTCTATTCTCCGGACTTCCAGGAGGAATGTTCCGGCGACAGGCGAGGCAGAGTCCGCCTGTTAGTCGCACATGGTGCTGCGTCTCGGGGTGTTTTTTGTTGTTCCACACTACTAGTTAAAGTGGCCACTAGTAACTAAGCGAGCATGACTAACTAGTTGTGGGTGAAATTATGGGATGCATCGTCATGGCAACAGACCAGACGTCACAATCTGGGCATGTGTGTTCCATTTTTGTCTTTCTTTTTCAGACTGCAAGACCTGGATAGAGATCAGTGGAACATATTATTTTTAATTTTTTACGCGTGAAGAGAAAGCCCCAGATTCACTCCAAAATTTAAAAATAAAA